ATATATAGATTTATATAGATTATAGATATATAGATTTGACATTTCAGAACCATATCTGATGAATTACAATGAACAATAACATTTACAACAAAAGACTCGTGTCTGAATCAACTCACATGAAAAATGACAACTTTCTTCCATTTTTTTGATGAAATTTGTTTGTCATACCTGAACAGCTTTTAACAGGTACCCAGTATGTGGAAGTATCTTATCATCCCTCGTGTCGGCTGTGAGTGTGTGCTGCAAAGGAACAGACAAACAATTTGCAAAATTCCAGACCATGATTTCACAAATATTCCCCCAATAATATTTAACTACAGAACAAGGTAACAGCAAACTGATACAAAGCACCCGTCACACAGTCAGTGTTGGGTAATTGATGTTAAAGGAGAATTAATTTAAATGTGCGCGCCCCCACCAATCACTGATAACATAATCAGAGATAATGATGGGCTTCTTATAATTCATGTTTAGTTTTTCCAAAGGAAAGCAATACAGTACTGAAAATAGGGAAAAAAATCCTGCTAAATTTTCCATAACTTCAGTAACACTGTTTCTATGGATATTCTTTTTTTTAATTATTTCTTCTTAAATTAAGGATTGTTCTTCAAACTGTAGCCAGCATTGAGCAGAGATTAAAAAAAGTACCAGTAATGAACAGTGAAACAATTAGTACAATGTTTAAACCTATAGTAAAGAAGGCGTTTGTATCCTCGATACTCCAGGGGTTACGCTACACTCTATACACCTCTGGAATATGTCATAACAAAATCGAAGGCTCAGTGTGCACCATTGATTGATCATTTGATGGAAGTCGGGCGTCACTCCTCTATAATCCTCAAAGGACAGGCATCAGCCTATAGCAATTGGTCTTTTTTTTAACCTGAGACCAATCAAATAGTTAGCCATATAGCTTCAACTTTGCCATGACATATTGCAGGGATGCAGAAGGTGTAAGTGAGCGTAGCCCCTGAAGTATCGAGGATGACGATAGGGTAAAATAGAAGTTGTTATGTACGACTGGTAGACGTCTGTACTCTAAACTTCAGAATGTCCTATCTCACTTTGTATACTACATTTGGTGGTTTTCTGTTTTACTTGTGCAATAGATTTGTTCCAACTTACATGTACACTAGACTTGAGTGTGTGGCCCGCCTGCTCTCTGATGGGGAAGGGTGTGGTTCTGGTTAGGGCTCTTAGATCCCTCCATACTCCGTCCCATTGTACAATGTGAGAGCCCAGCGTGGACGGGAACTACACAAACACAGTACAGGGTACAACATTTCAGAAACGGGTTACCGCAAGCCATGTCTTACTTCAAAGTTGCCTGTGGTAATTTGTACATCAACAGATCTGTGAACATTTGGACAGTTTCATTTCCAGTCACCCTTGATTTTCCCTTTTGCTGATTCATATTTCCAAATAATGTGTTTAATTTCAAAATCTACCATGACCATTTGGTCAAATTAAAAATGCAATTACAATATAAACAAAAATCCGTGTTTTCACTGTGATAGCACTTAAAACCAGTGAAATAAATGTACAACATACATGTGTATAGTTCTTGTTGTTAACGAAGCCTATCATCTAAAGCTATCTAGACACTTACTGTGAATGCCGTCAGGATTCCTTTACTGGCCTCCTTGTAGCCACTGAGAGGGACATCTGTGTTAGTGTTGTACCCTCCCACGATCAATCTAAGTATTAAAGTCAAAATACAGGTAAGTCATGTGGTACCTCTACAGGTAACTCATCATAGGGTTGTTCTACAGGTAACTCAT